GGGGGGAAGTGGGGGGGGGGGAGGTTGAAAAAAGAAAACAAATTCTTATCGGACGCTTAACAAATCAGGACTCGGAGCCCCTATCACGCGCAGGGTGCTTGCCTTACATTAACGATAAGATCTGTGAGACACTAGAAGTGGCCCGGGCCTCCGGCTCGCGCCCTCGAAACCACCCTTAAATGGGAGATAAGGGAGGAAATACATTAAATCCTCCGAGGCATCCCCCGCTTTCGGGCAAACGTCCATCTCCGTTTCGGGTAACACCACCCCCTAACCATTCCTAACCCTCCGACAACCTAAGCCTTGTATTTTGGGGGAGGAGAGGGCTAGGGGTGGGAGCCTCATCGGTCTTAAAAGTTTGAAAAATTAAGATTTTTCTCTTTTATCTTGCCGACTCTTCCTACCTTGGCCGATTTGGCCGATCTCCTCCCGCAACCCTTAAACTAACCAGTCGCCCTGGGCGCATCGCTCGAATATGTTTTACTCGGTTCCTATTAGCCAGAGAGAGAGAGAGAGAGAGAGAGAGAGAAAAAAAAGTTTCAAAGTCGAAACTTGCTATAGTCGACTCTCGCACGCGTTTGCAGCTTTGGCTTAGGGGGTTGTTTCGAGTGGCGGATGAATTTGCGAAAAATAACGAGAACCCTCGTCACCCCAGCACTTCAAGAAGGTTAACTGGGGACCTAACCCCCCCCCCCCCGCCCTTTTTCCAACGTGTTCGAGACGAAGCTCGTTAAGTCGATCATTCAATTTTTAACCGGCAGAAGAAAGGGTAAAAAAACCTCCCCATTGACATCCCTTGCTTTCGCCGTCTTTATTAACGTCATATACACATTTACCTATAGCCAAATAGAGGGTTCACTTCACCCTCTCCGACTGTTTCCTTTCATTTCCTCAAAAAATATATCTGCTGCAAAAAGCCACCCTCGTGTATACATATATGCGCGTTTATGACGAAAATCGTGAAAGCCTGCAGACCGAGCCACAGGTTGGGCGATCCGTAAAGGGTCAAAGGGTAAACATACAGAATATAGGCAAGGAGAGGGGACGAAGATGCAGGTATAAAGCCGTAACGTTAGAAATGGGTAAACGAAAGTAAAAGGGAGCGAAAAAGGGAACACGGAGGGGTCGACAAGGGAATGGATCTCGAATCTCGCGTAAAAATCCGTCCATTGTCCTGAGGGAAAATTGACGGTTCGCGTGAGTCGCCTCTGGCAGGAGCGACCGAAAATTTATGTCGTTCACTTGAAAATTGAAGGGATGTGTTTTTCGTGTCCTTTTTTAACCACTACCGCTACAGGCGTATTGCCACTACCACTACCTAATGATATTTCGACCCCTCGCAACCTAGCGCGACTATCCACTGGATAGTAACCTTTATCCACCTATATAGATAACACCTCCCCCCCCCCCCTTTTT